TTACTGCACAGCTGCATCTGTAGACGACGGAAACATTCAAGACTAGCAAAATATGAGCTTTTAAACATCTGTGTACAACTTTTTATTAAGGAAGTGTTTCAGAAAACTGCTCCTGCTTCATCTCTGCATCCAAAAGCGCCGCTGCTGACGCCGACGTTTAATTCACCAGTTTGTAGAAAAGATGAACTGAAAGATGAAAAATTCCACTAAAGCCTTTTCAAAGCCAAAAAAAGACTGTCGGTCAAATGTTTAATTATCATTTGATTTAATTTGGTAAATCCACCCTCGAGCAGCAGCTCACTGTGACGTGTCGAGGGGCAGTGCCGTGAAAATAAAGCTATCCAGCCCAGCGACCTTTTTCTGACACGACCACGGCTCGCCACGACCGGCTTCCACCGACAAATCTGAAAAATAGAATAAATTAAAAAAAACAGCCAGAGGTGCATGAGAAGATGAGCTGTATACTTTCACCTGGTCTCAAAAGCAGAGTGGGAGTGGGCTGGAGGACACTGAGAAAAACACGTTTGATCCCAAAGTTGGTCTATTAAAAAAAGAAGCTTCTGACAGATGAACCCTGAACATTTCCATCTGGAAACACTTTCACAAAATTGACTCCAAAAATATTTAAGACTTATTTTTCCCGCTGAAAATGTGCGTCCATAAAGACCGCTCTCTTAAACTACTTTATCATGTTTCGTACAGTTTCCAAAGTTCTGTTTTGGTCATTTCTGCAAAAAGAAAATAAAATGCATTTTTTTAATAGTCACATTTTGAATTGGTGCTTTTATTTTGGCACCTCAGACACGTAGATATGAGGAAGCTGCTGCAGCTGCTCACTGTCGCGTCTGCATGTTAGCAAAGCATGGAGAACATCTGGCTTCGTCCAGCACACACGGCTGACTCGAAAGCATCAAAAACAGCTGGACTCCAGCAGCTGCTGCTTTAGTTTCACTCTGTAGACTCTCATCAGTTTGTCTGCTGAGAAATCGGCTCACATGTTACAGCCAGTTCAGCGAGGAGATGAAGAGATCTCCATTAATAACAGTAAATAAGAAAAACATGACGCAGGTTTTCTGTGAAACTGTGGCAGCTGAGCTAACTTATCATAAAAAACAAGAGAAATCAAAGAGCCACGCTGGAGAGGAAAGCAGTCCACCGCTGCCCCTCAGGCCTCCCTCTGTGGGGTAGGAGGCTGCTGCTGCTGGGGCTGCTGCTGCTCTTTGGTGGGGGCGTAGTACAGCTCCAGAGGCTTCCTGACCTTCCAGTACTTCTCGTTCACCAACTCCAGAGTCAGCGAGCCGTTTAGGGTCTGAGAGGAAGGATGAGCATAAAGGTCAGATCACAAAAAAGCTTCTAATGGAATCGATCAGTCCAGATTTCCTCCATCGTACAACAAAATCACAGCAGGAACCAGCCTGACTGCACTAC